AGTTAAGCATACATTTTTTTTTACCAGTCTACTGTGATTTATATATGTTATGTTGCATACACGATTTACACAGTCTAGGATAAAAAGTATGGGCCACAGATGGATATTTCGGTTTAGGCTCCTCAATTAATTAATCATCTTGGCTTTAGTTTCTTCCTAAGATGTAGATAGTATGACCAAGATACTGGTAACATCTTATTACTTCTCAGTTTGCTGTGAAGATTCAATAGTTCCTCTCTATTATGAATATTGGAATTAATATCTCTATATAATAATATACAAATATGTATTTATCCACACCCTTATATATACATATATAATATTCTATGACAACTAAAATTTCACACACATAAACCTTTTGGTTTTGCTTTTTCATCCTGTGACCAGGTATCTATCAATTCACTGTATTTCTTTTCCAGGTAGAAAATGTAGTATTTTATTTCTGTCATGAATTTTGTTTTTCTCTGTAACGAACTCTGCAGAAATGTGGGGACATCAAGATGTGCTGCTGAGCCTGGCATCTCCCAGTGTGTTCACTGCCTTGCTGGGCTCATGTTTATTTAACAAGATGTCCTTGGTTACCAAGCATGTCTTCAGGTTGCAAGGAACCTAAGAATATGCATAAAGAAGTTAGACGAGTATCATAAATATTTGATGTTCCATATGATCTCAAAAATGTCTCTAAGTTACTTTTAGTTGCAAACAGGAAAAGATCCTTCAGCATAATTCAAATAAATTCTCAGTAATTATTTATTTTTCTTCTTTACTCCCCCTGATCCTATCCATAAGGGAAAAACAAACTTTAGCTTTTTCAGATATGATTATCCAGAGGTAAATTACTCCCAACCTTCAATGCTTCTGTTTTTCTTTTTCTTATCTTCTGCCCTCTTTATATGATGCCCAGTAGTATTCCTATACAGAGTGGGTAGAATGAAATGCAAACCAATTTTATTTGCTATTTTAAAAAGGTTTATTCTGATAACAATTTTTTACTGTCAATTTAAAGGACATTTAGAAATTATTTGTATGTATTATTTATACTATCAGTGTTCCATGAGTTCATTTTGGTTAGAATCTGCTGCATCATCAAGAGAGAAAAAACACACCTGTGCACACAAAGATAATGACCATTCATCACTCTTGGGCCAACACACATTTTTACCAAGGCTCTGTTTTCAAGGTTGATCTGAGGATAGATGAAAAAATCTCAAAAGCACTGGAACATTCTGAGGCAATCAAAAATCAGAGAGGCTACAGCTGGGTCATATCAGAAAGGCCTTCAGCTAAAGGGTTTATTTGCTTGAAATACTGAACTCTCTGGCATAGTTTATTTCTTCATGGTGAAAGGTTTCACTGATTATGCATGCTAACAACTCATTAAGAGTATAGCATTAAAAAACATAAATTACAAAGTCAAAAAGGTGACAAGGTAAGTGGAGACCACAGTAAACTAGCAAAATGCAAGTCCTCTGATTTATTGGTTTTTTGTACCTCATGCAATGTAAGTAAATTAACTCTCTCTGTGCCAGATACAAGCTAAGGATACACATCCACCACGGATAGCCATGTGAGTATTGATTGGGAATAATAATGTAGTGCCTCGCTGCCTATTGCTGAAATGTTTTGAAATTTCAGAGGCGTAACATTTTTTTGCAGTGTATCAATTATATTGTTATATAATATCTGTACTTTTATTTCTTAGAAATGAAATACCAACACAGATATTTAAGGTTTTGATAGAATCCTAAGATATTATTGCCAAAGATGTATTCTGGAGGATGAAAAAAAAAGCTCTTAAAATATTTCTGAATAACAGGAGTTTGAATTTAGGTGTAGTAATATAAGCTATATTTGTTAAAAGTCCATAGTATTGGAAACTTAGGGATGTTAATGGTAACAAGAGCCACTGTACTTACTTCAGTCTTTAAAATAGTAAGGAATATTTGGATGCTTTGTGATATTACTGCTTAGCTAACATATAGGATCATATCGACTTACAAGAATCAGATCTCTTTCCCCTGTCCAGAATAGAAACAATGAAGAGAACAAAAGGAGAGAGTCTGAAACATCCTGCATGTGTCCCCAAGTCCTTTCTTCCCACATTGGACATGTACATTCTGTTTCTAAGAAAGGTTTGGCAGGTTAACCTCACACAACAGGCAGCATTTTTGTTATGAAACAACTCCAGTTTTAACCCAGAGAATGTATAGTTTCATGACATTCTCCAAGAAGTCATATGTCATTAAGCTGTGTATTCTGGGTTTATTACAATAATTTCTTAACTTGCTAAGGACTTTCTATAGATGGACTCTTCATCCTAGTAAATATTTCTAGCTTATGTATATGGAGTGTCAGTTAATGAGACATTTTTTTTTTTTTTAAATGCAAAACCCATTGCTGTCAAGTCAATTCTAACTCATAGCAACCCTGTAAGGCAGAGGAGAACTGCTCCTAGGGTTTCCAAGGTATAATCCTTATGGAAGCAGACTGCCACATCTTTCTCCCTAGACTCAGTCTCCCCTCCTCTTTTCCTTTCCTCAGTGATGACCCCAACACAAGTAAAAGGAATGAAGGGATCCTAGAACAACTGCTTTTAATAATTTTTCCCAAATATAATATATTGGAATTGAAATTTGCAAAATCATTTTCCCTAATTATCTAAATACTCAAGCATATAATAAAATATCATGAGCCCAATAAACTTTGAATGAGAAAACCAGCAGCATTTCTACAATTCAAGGAGAATTAGACTCTGAAATTAAAAAAATGAAGTAATGGTAGAGGTAATAATAGTGGTAATAATAGTAATTTAGCTTTTACCATATGTCAAGCACTCTTCTTTGTGCTTTACCTGGATTACCTTATAATCAGATTCATAATGATCTTCTGGGCTGGTACTCTTATTTCACCCATTTTACAGATATAGAAATTGAGGAATTAAATAATTTACCAGATTTATACTGCTGGTAGATTCTGATGCCATTAATCAAACCTAGAAATTTTGGCTCTAAAACTCAAGATTTTGACTGTTAGGTCATATATAGGAACTCTGGTAGCATAGTGCCTAAGGAATTAGACTGCTTAACCAGAAGGCTGGTGGTTCAAACCCACCAGAAGGAAGATTGGGCAATCTACTTCCATAGAGATACCAACTTCTAAGTCCAAGGAGGGATCACTATGAGTTGGAAACCATTTGACAGCAGGGAGTTTGGTTTTTGGTTTAGATTATATATAAAAAACAACAAATATATCAAATTCAACATGTTTAGTATTAGTAAAACTGGATAATAAAAAAACCCTGGTTTATTGGGCAATCATAATAGAGGATTGTTTATTACAAAAATGAAATACATTAAATATTGAAATTAATGCTTATAATAGTAAAACTTCAATCAACAGTGGTTTATTGAACTTCTGTTATGAACTTAGCATCATGTAATTGGCTACAAGATACAGATAAATTAGGAAATACAGAAAACAGCATAATACCTGCCAAAAAAGGCAAGAAACTGAGTTAGAGGTTATGATAAATGGGAAATACTTAAGTATCAACATCAGAAGGGTGAAAATTGAAGCAATTAACAAATTGGGATAATTTGTTGTCCAAACAACTGTCAATATCAGGCCACAATTATAAGTTAGGCGTGCTTTAGTATTTAAGTGACTCAAAATGTGATTTTCATTTGTATAATCATAAATAATATGAAGGCTGTTGAACTAAACTGAGAAAAGAATGGTAAACAAGAAACAGAAAAGTGTGACCTACATTGCCATCTGTTGGGTAAATGAACATCTGTCAAGTTGAATGAAAATGAAGCTTGGAAATTCCCAATGAATCTCATCTACTGGCACTGCCATTTAAAAGTGAAAACAGATTTCAAGCTTAATTTAGCTTTTATTATTATTATTATTATTTAGAAAAAAATATTTAAAGAAAGAGGAAAAATATTCCTTCAATTTTTGGAAACCACAGATACTAAGATTTCCAGGAATTATTTTAGATCAAATTACAGTAGAATAGTGTTGCAGCAAAGAATATTGCCAAAAACTTTTTTCCATATTAGATTTTATAATTCTCCAGAAGCATCTTGTTTTCTGGCTAATCTAGCCATGCTAGTATGGTGGAAAAAAAATCCTATCTTGGAATACTCTTAGCTCTAAGGAGCTCTAGTAGTGTACTGCCTAAGGCATTTGACTGCTAACCAGAAGGCTGGCAGCTCAAACTGACCAGCCACTCCTCCAAAGGAAGGTTGGGCAATCTACTTCCCTAGTGATACCGCCTCAGAAACCCAAGGAAGGAGCGCTGTGAGTCGGATCTGACTTGATGGCAGTGAGTTTGGTTTTGGTTTCTAATGTGATTTCATTTTGAGCATTATTTAACTCTCTTGGTCTACATTTCTATGTTTATATAAGGAATGAGATGGGATTTATTGATCCCCAAGGTTACTTTCAACTTTAAAAAAAATCTATGCATTAACAATTATAAAATTAAATTAATATTTATTTTAAAGATATAGAGTTCCTAGATCTTCCTTTATTTATGTATATGTAGTATGTATATAGGGGGAACGCTGGTAGCTTAGTGCCTAAGGCACTTGACTGCTAACCAGAAGGATGGCAGTTCAAACACACCAGCCACTCCTTGGAAGGCAAGTTGGGCAATCTACTTCCCTAGTGATACAGGCTCAGAAACCCAAGGAAGGTTTGCTATGGCACATAACAACAACAATTATGTATATATATGTATATAATACTCAGTGCTATCAAGTCAGATCCTACTCACAGTGATCCCTTCTTGGGTTTCCCAGGCGGTATCACTATGGAAGTAGATTGCCCAACTTTCCTTCTGAGGAGTGGCTGGTGAGTTTGAACCACCAGCCTTCTGGTTAGCAGTCAAATGCCTTAGGCCCTATGCCACCAGAGCTCCTATATATGTGTGTGTATATATGTGTATTTGTTTAATTCTGAAATTTTGAATCAGTGTCTTTTCTCTTCTTTAGGGTGGAGTTAATGGATTGACTGGAGAGCTAGAATTTGGAGAAAATGGAGGCAACCCCAATGTTCATTTTGAAATCCTTGGAACCAACTATGGAGAAGAGCTTGGACGAGGTGTTCGAAAAGTAAGACCAGAGACATAGACAAATATGATTTTCCTATATCAATTGTGGTTTTGCTTGATTGTCCTCTATGAAATATGATGAAAATACACAATAATGTTTATATGGTACTTTGAAAGAGAAAAAAGGGAGAGAGAAGATGTAGGCATTTGTTGTTGTTGTTGTTATTGTTGTTATGTGCTGTTGAGTCAAACCTGACTCATAGCGACCCCTTCTTGGGTTTCCGAGGCAGTTATCACTATGGAAGTAGGATTGCCCGACCTTCCTTCCGAGGAGTGACTGGTGGGTTTGAACCTTCAGCCATCTGGTTAGCAGGCAAGTGCCTTAGCCACTATGCTACCAGAGCTCCCAAGGCATTTAGGTACCATTAAATAGTACTTACCAGAAGTATTAAGCTATAAATTCTATTTATGTCTTACAATAATTTAATGGAAAAAAATCTGGTTGTCTAGGGAAACAGCATTATCTTTCATTTGTAATAATAATAATCTTTTTAAAATAGTGAGTTTTATATTTATAAAATGCACTTGTATCATGCAAAAATTAGAATAAGAGCTTAGATAATGAGTTAGATTGGGTTCTCTAGAGAAACACAAAA